AAAAAAAAAAAGTAGCCCTCAGTAGTCCCGGGGTGGCACCAGTGGTTAATGCACTTGGCTGCTAACTGAAAGGTTGGAGGTTTGAGTTCACCCAGAGGCATCGCAGAAGAAAGTCCTGGCGATCTATTTCCCAAAAAAAACAGCCATTGAAAACTCTGTGGAGTACAGTCCTACTCTGACATACAAGGGGCCACCGTGAGTCAACGCTGATGAGACAGCAGCTGGTTTTTGGTTCTTTAACTTCACTTAGCACTTCCGCGCTTGCTGCCTGAGGGTTGCACCACTGCTTTACTAGGCAGGCCAGAAAGCTAAAAACAAAGCAAAACGAAGTAACAGCAATTACCCTGGGGATCGGGAACACTGGTGACAAAGGTTCAGCGCTCAGCTGCTAACCAAAAGGTTGGTGGTTCCAACTCACGCAGCTGCTGAGGGAGAAAGAACGGGCGATCTACTCCTGTAAAGATTACAGCCTAGAAAACCCTATGGGAGCAGTTATACTCTGTTACATGGAGCCACTATGAGTCAAAATCGACTCGACAGCCCCCAACAACAACAACAACAACATCTCTGGGGATACAAAAGATACATGAAAACACAACCCACTCAAAAAGATCAATGTGTTAGCAGAAATTGACAACCAGGAGGCTAGGGCGTGGTCCTCACACTTTAGCACATGCCCCAACCACTTGGGTGCTGGTTAAGACCCAACCGCTTGGGTGCTGGTTAAGACCCAACCACCTGGGGTGCTGGTTAAGCCCCACCCACCTGGGGTGCTGATTTAGCCTCATCAACCTGGGGTGCTGGTTAAGCCCCAACCACCTGGGGTACTGGTTAAGCTCCAACTACCTGGGGTGCTAGCTAAGCCCCAACCACTCTTCAGCCCTGAAGTCGGCTGTGGAAGATGTGTGGTGGGTCCGCGAGTGTGCTTCTTACCAGCACCCTGGCAACCGGAACCTGGATGGTGCCTGGAGAACACTTAGACAGAAATACTTTGAAAAGAGACGCAGTGTCAGAGTGTAGGAGGCGAATCAGGGAGGGGCTTCTAAAGGTGAGATGTGGCTTGCTTCTTTTGAGGAGGTGAGAGTTGTGGTACTTCTTAAAGAAAGCGATGGTTAAAAATGCAGGGAGAAAAAAAGTATGAGGATTCCCCCCAAAAAATCAAGATGTAACAACACAAGCATGTTGTTTAGGGATATAAAAATAAAAAGCTAAGCAATAAAAAAAAAAAAAAAATGCAGGAAGAAAAGGCAAAGAAGCAGAAATTGGCCACTACCTGTCCATCAGTGGTGGCTGGGTGCTGCTATGATGCTGAACAGGTTTCAGCAGAGCTTCCAGACTAAGACAGACGAGAAAGAAAGGCCTGGTGATCGACTTCTGAAAATCAACCAATGAAAACCCTGTGGATTGTAATAGTTTGATCCGCAACCAATCATGGGGATGGTGCAGAGCTGCGCAACGTTTCATTCCATTGCGCCTGAGGTCTCCGTGAGTCAGGAGCTGAATGGTTGACAGCTGACAACAACAACATTGTGAATTCCTGGTGGCGCAGTGGTTAAGCGCTCGACTGCTAACCAAAAGGTCAACAGTTCACATCTACCAGCTGCTACTCCTCAGAAACCCTACGGGGCAGTTCTGCTCTGTCCTATAGGGTTGCTATGAGAATCGACTTGATGGCAATGGATTAGGCCTTATTATCCTTCAACTATACAGTCATCTAAACAAGAAAGCAAGTTTCCGGATATAGCTATGATACAGAATTTACGCTAATAGGTATTTCCCTCTCTCTCTTTATTCTGTGCTTACAGCAATGGCAAAGGAAAGGTGAGCCACTCAGCGCTGTCCTCGAGTCCCCCTGTGCCCTGTGACTTACCTTCTCCAGCGCAGACACTAAGTCTTTGGTTCTCGTCCCTCACGCTCAGACCCGCCCATGGCCGTTCCCTCTGCTCCCTAGTCCTTAACGTGTGCGCAGTTATCATCCTTGGCCTGTCCATTTGCTCTGTGCATTCCTTCGCTGTCCTCGTATGGCTGCTTAATGTTTTAAGTGAAAAGTTATGGAGAGAATGCAGCGTGGCCCCTGTTCTGTCACATAGGGAAATCGCAATCGGTCCTCTGTAGCAAAAGGGAGACCAGGCATCTTTGATTTCATCTTCACCTTCAGAGACTGTGTCATGATCAAAATGTCCTTTGTTTGATTTTAGTTTTCAGGATGAAAATTTGGTTTTTGAGGAGTTTGCTCGCCAAAACCTGAACGATGTGACCGAAATCGAGGAAGGGAAGAAAGACAAGGAGGAGGATGAATGAAGAGGCGGCCAGGGAGCAGGAAATGGCCTGGAGCTACCAGGCGACCAGCGGAGCCCCAGAGTTACCCTTTAGAACCACGCTAGAGATGAAAATGGGAGTCTTTGTTACAGGAATAAAGTTGGTGCATCTTCCGCTGTTTGAGTCAGGCCGACTTGCTAGGAGGCTAAGCTGATGTCACCGACACAGAAGCTGTAGCCTTCAGGGTCCCTGGCATCTTCAAGGGGTGGTACACTAAAAGGAGGCCAGCCATGTACAGAAGGGCTTGACACCGACTGCTCATACCTTGCACTGGCATGACCTCATGACCATAACCAAGAAAACTCTATTTCCAAATAGCGTCAGGTCCACCGGCACAAAGGCTGGGAATTCAGCACGTATTTTGGAAGGGTACGATTCAATCCATGGCAAGCATTAATAATGATAATGATAACAATACAGGCAGAAGCCTGGGCCTTTGGCCTGTGGGTCTGCAGTGTCAGACAGAGTCACCTGTTCCTTTGTCCCCTGCGCTAAGGGGACAGCATGGTATCCGGGTAACCCAGGACCTTCTCTCAGGGGACCCAGGCACAGGGACTATCAGGGTGACTCATTCCTCAGGGATTCTAAGACTGTCCACGGGTGTCTCGACCCTTCCAGCCAATTGTCCTCCAGGCCCAAAGCTGGCTCTGGTTAGAGCCTCGGGCCAAGCCATGGTCCAGGGATTCACCCTGCAGTGCCTGGCGGGAGCTGCGCCCAAGTGAGAGGATGAGCCGTGGGGTGTCTGCATTGCTTGACCCCAGGGCAACCTGAGTCAGGGTGGACGTTAATAGACCCAACCTTTGGAACAGCGCGGGTGGAGAGAGCCAGAGAGAAGTGCGGAAAGACCAGCCTCTGGAGACCAGAGGTCAGAACAGCCCTTGCCCTCCAAGTTATTTTAGTGCCAAAGCGTCTGATACAGACCTCCAGGTGCTGGCTTGTTTGTGGGGGGCACCTAGGGTGGGGAGCAGCAAGTGAGCAGAAACGGGATGTGGACACCCGGCTCGGCTCTGCCTGCTCACAGCAGGTGCTCTCTGCTGGTGCAGGCTTCTGTGTGCAGCTGAGCATGGGCCCCAGGTCTGGGGGCAGGTGCAGCAGAAGAAGCAGACTATGAAGGGGTTGAGGGTGCTGCGTGGAGGGAGTGGTGGCTGAAAACTTGGGAAAAAGTTCTGCAACTGGCAACCAAGGGGCTGGTGAAGTTGTGAACTGTGCCACATAGGAGGGCCTGCCAGGCACCTTCCAGGTGTTACCCCAAATTATTCCAGTGGTGCTTGTAAGTTGGTTCTGTCATTCCCACTTGTTAGATGAGGAAGCTCTGGAGTTCAGAGCTTGGCTGCTAACCAAAAGGTCGGCAGTTTGAATCCACCAGCTATTCCCTGGAAACCCTACAGGGCAATTCTACTTTGTCCTACAGGGTTGCTATGAGTTGAAATCTACTGGACGGCAACAAGGCTTTTTATTTTTGTTTTTGTATGTGTTTGACCAAGGGTAGTGGGATTCATTGGTAGAATCCTTGCCTTCCATGGTGTCTTAGGCTGGGTCCTCTAGATAAGCAAAACCAGTAAAGCATATAAATATATATATAGAGAGATTTATATCAAAGAAATAGCTCATGCAATTGTAGAGGCTGGAACGTCCCTTCTCCCGATTCACATAGCCGCAGGGGCTGGTGAACCCAAGATCGGCAGGCTGGAAAGCAGGACTCTGCTCACAGGCTGTGAAGATCAACGAATCCCAGGATCAGCAGATAAGCTGATAGCTCAAGTCCCAAGAACTGGAGGTCAGATGAACAGGAGGCAGCCACAGAATCCAGAGTGAGCAAAAAGCCAGAATGTTTGCTTATATTCAGACGCAGGCCACATCCCCAAGGAAACTCCCTTTCCACTGATTGGCTGCTCACAGCATATTCAATCATGGGAGCGATCACATATAAACACTGAGAATTATGGCCCAGCCAAGTTGACACCCAATCTTAACCATCATACATGGAAAGACCCGGGTTTGGTTCCCAGCCCATGTAGCTCATACGCAGCCATCACTCATCTGTCAGTGGAGGCTTGCATGCTGCTTTGATGCTGAGCAGGTTTCAGCAGAGCTACCAGACTAAGACGGAGTAGGAAGAAAGCCCTGATGACCTACTTCTGAAAATCAGCCAGTGAAAACCCTATGGATCACAGTGGTCCGATCCACGTCCGATCATGGGGATGGCGCAGGGGATGGCACAGAACCGGGCAGCGTTTTATTCCCTTGTGCATGGTGTCGCTGTGAATCTGGGGCTGACTAAGAACAACAACCTGTACCTTACCCAAGGTCACATAGCTAGCAAGGGTCGGAGTCAAAACTTGAACTCTAGTTCCTCTGAGTCTAACACCAGACCTCTAGCCACCCTAGGATGCTAAATGAGAGTCTGAGAGTTTGTCGAGTCAGGAGCTGTGGTCCGAGGAAGAAATTAGCAGTTATGGTTCAACCATGGCTGCCCTTCTTTTTAACTAAAATTCTCATTGAGATAATTGCAGATTCACTTGCAGTTACAGGAAATAATACAAAGAGATCCTATAAACCCCTCATCCAGTTTCCCCCAACGGTAACATCTTGCAACACTATAGTGCAACATCACAGCCAGGATATTAACATTGACACATCCACCCACCTCATTCAGGTTTCCCATTTCACTTGTAATCCTGTGTGTGTGTATTTAGTTCTACATAATGTTAGCACAGCTGTACAGTAGTTCACTTCTCTTTAAGTGTCTGCTTTCCTACCCCTTGGCATTTTTTATTGCTTTTCCCCAGGGGAAAATTCCATCACCTGGTTTACTCATCCTTGGGTAAGGTAGGTGGGGTTGGAGTTGGGTACACGACAAAATGTAAGGAGGTGGTTTTTGGTGGTCACAAGTCCTGGGGCCAGGGTACATGTTACACACAACGAAGAAATGTCTAGCTCCAAATGTCAATCATAACCTTGGTTAGAAGCCAAATAAGACTATTCTTATGCCTTCAAGTTAGGGGAGTCCTGATGGTGCAGTGGTTAAGTGCCCGGCTGCTAACCAAAAGGCTGTTGGTTTGAACCCACCAGCGGCTCCATGGCAGAAAACACCTGGTGATTTGGTCCCGTAAAAATTATAGGCTAGGAAACCCTATGGGGCAGCGCTACTGTGTCCTACAGGGTGGCTATGAGTCAGCATCTACTGGACGGCAATGGGTTTTGTTTTTGTTTTTTTTTAATGCCTTTGAGTGCACCGTTTACATATTCTAAGGTTCTTCTTGACAGGAGGTGGATTACTTGTTTGAATGTGCTGTGAAAAGGATTAGGTTAGACGTGAAGTGTGTTATGACTGCCATCTTGATATGCCCTCAAGGTGGGGTAAACTCAGGGAGCAGCTGGTCATTAGGGATGATTCAGTGGGTGACTCATTCAGTAAAGAGGCTCCGGAGGAAGAAAATGCGGCAAAGCGGTGGGGGAGTCCATCCCTCTGCCCGTTATGAGATCTCCGAGGCAACACACGATGCATTTACCGGGGCGACAAAGAGGCTTCTTCATTCTTCAAAGAAATATATACCAGAGTTGTGTGTCTCTGATTCAAGAACATAATCCACACGCAGGCCTGATGCTTTTTTTAAAAAAAAAATAAACCTTTTTATTTTAGAATAGTTTCAGATTTACAGGAAAGTTTCAAAGGTAGTACAGAGAGTTCCCATATACGCCCCCCCCCCCAAAACACACTATTGCCGCAAGTCAATGCCAACTCATAGCAACTCTGTAGGACAGAGTAGAACTGCTTCATAGGGTTTCCAAGGCTGTAATCTTTACCAAAGCAGACTGCCACATCTTTCTCTCGAGTAGCCGCTGATGGGTTCCAACCACCGATCTTCCCATTAGCAGCCAAGCGCTTAACCACTGTGCCACCAGGGCTACTTCACCATGCCCAATTTCCATATTATTAACATCATACATTAGTATAGAACATTTGTAACAATTAATGAAGCAGTATTGATACATTAGTTCCTAAACAAAACAAACCCCTTGCCGTCCAGACATTCCGACTCATAGCGCTACCGGGGTTCCATATTAGTTCCTGGGTGGTGCAAATAGTTAATGTGCGCTGCTGGTAACCAAAGGGTTGGAGGTTCGAGTCCACCCAGAGGCACCTTGGAAGAAAGACCTGGTGATCTACTTCTGAAAAATCAGCTATTAAAAGCCCTATGGAGCACAGTTCTACTCTGTCACACCTGAGGTCACCATGGGTTGGAGTCCCCTTGACAGCAACTGGTTATTATTATTGATACATTATGTAACTAAAGTCCATACTTTATTCAGATTTCCTTAGTTTTTACCCAATGTCAGTTCCAGGATCCCATCCAGGATCCCATATTATGTTTAGTTGTCTCGTCTCTTTAAGGCTTCTTTTGGCTGTGACAGTTCCTATTAGTTTTTCAGAACTGCAAATATACCCCCTATTGGCCAGCAGCTTCTACCTCCCAACTCTCACTTGCTCTCACTGTTCACGCTCACGACGTTCGGCCTCTTAAGATGACAGGACCCCAGACAGATTCTGTAGCCCAGACGTCCCTAAGCTGCTAACAGGTGTATGCAACAGTGTGCCACCCAAAAAACCAAACCAAACCCATTGCCGTTGAATCCATTCCGACTCCCAGCAACCCTATGGGACAGAGCAGAACTGCCCCATAGGGTTTCCAAGGCTGTAATCTTTACGGGAGCAGACTGCCACGGCTTTCTCCCAAGAGCAGCTGGGGGGTTCGAACCACACACCTTTCAGTTAGCAGCCAAGCGCTTAATCACTGCACCACCAGGGTGTGCCACAGGCACCTCAGACCTGGCTTGTTCAAAATGGAAAGCATCTTCTCCTTGGTCTCCTCTAGTCCTGTTCTTGCTTAGGGTTGCCTCATGCCCCAGAAAGCCTGGTGTCTGGGAGGCAGCCCCCTCTTCTCGCTCCCTGTCTTGGTCCCTTTTCTTCCCTCTTCTGCTGTGTCTGACACCTCCTCTTCCATCTCCAGAACCACAAATCAGCACGGTCTGGACTGGCGCAATCATATTTTTAACGTAACCTCTGTTTC